TAGCTTGTGAAAATCGATTTTATTCTATTTTCTGCCTAGACTTAAAGAATATTTGAAGAAATAAATTCCAATTTCTTTTCCCGATTTCTACAGGTTGTATCCGCCGCACCATCGACATGCCCAGGATCTACAAGTGAATGTCAATTGAACAAATTCTTAAACATGCTCAAGAAGAATGGCATTGACATGAAATGCTATAGCAACGTGGTTGGCAATGTGGTCAGTGAGAGCGCACTCAAGGGTGCTTGGGCCGAAACCAAAACCAAATTCGGCTATATGATGGTTGAATGGAATAAATGCATGAAAATGGACGATTCACAACAATACGAGTGAGTTTTTTTCTTCTTCTCTTTTTGGAATTTTCTCCATCGAAGAAACAGAATTGGTGCAAGTCTTTTTTATTAACTCTTTATTCATTATTATTATTCATAAAAATGGCTTATAATATGGCTCCTAATCAGTAATGTAATTTTTTTTTTGTTGGGAATAACATTTTTTTTAATCGAAAATTGAAATTTTCACAGTGAATATGAGTTTATTTACAAACAATTTTTCCGTTTTAGATGCATGATGGGCGTTTTTGGAATGGGTGGCAAAATTTTGGGTCGATTTGTCCAAAATTTGGGTGAAGTAAGTTGATACAAACATTCATTTGAGCCAAAAAGAAAAAAAACACAAGTAGTAAACCATTCAACATGAGCGAATCAACTAATTTCCTGGTTCCTGGCGTATATTTTACATTTTCAGAAACCAAACTGGCCATTAATGATGGAAATCAATGCAAAATGCATCGCTGAATGCTTCAACGGAGAGGAAGGCAAACAAATGTTCAGCCAAAAGATGAAATGCATGGTCGAAGCAACTACCGAAGCTGTCAAGGGCTCCGCATTCGCTCAATTCTGGGAAGAATACGTGCAACTGTTGGCCTATTTGGGCAAACAACTCAAGGTTTGCGGTCAAAAACCAAGCGACGATGAAATTTCTGCGTAAGTTCCATTCTATCGAATCGGTAGTCAAATTTATTGCTTCAATTTTTTTATTTGTTTTTTTTTTCTCTTTCAAATCCTTCTAATCTCCATGCATTGATAGTGTCATTCAATGCATAAAATTTATCAACTATTTATGGTCATGAACACATTATTCATTTGCTCTATGTATCACTAACCCGTTTTTTTCCACTTCCAGATGCATTGTCAAAGAATTCCCACTCCTCAAGGAAATGAACATCAAATTATATGAACAAATGAAAATGGTGAGACAAGCAACGAAAGAACTCTTTCGAGTGGAACTTGGAACTGATGTTTTTCTCTCTCTTTTTGAATTACAGTCCAACAAGGAAGGCTTCATGCGTGTTGCAAAATACGTCAAGGGAAAATGCTTCCAATAATTGTGAAAACTTTCCAAATCCTCTGGACAATTTCTTACTCGAATCAAATTCACGACGGAAATTACAAGGATCACATCATACGCATCCATAAATGGATACAAATTTGTTGTATGAAGGAATGAAATAAATAAATCAACATTGCTCTAAAATTGAATGTTTTTTTTTTGTTATATTACTAAAATTAAGCTATTTAAAAACCACTCGCAAGGTGCTCTTTGGTTACTTGATTGGCATGGATTACAAAGCAAATTTCACTCAACTTAAATTTGAACGGTGAAACTATTGAACAAGAAAAATCGATAGAATATCTGGGATTGACAATTCAAGAAAATTTGCATTGGAACATTCATATATCAAACATTTGTACCAAAGTCAGTCGAATGTCTGGAGTCTTACAGAGAATTGGAAATGCTGTTAACGAAACCACCTTGATCTCTATTTATTACGCGCATGTGTACACTGTACAGTCACTTGATTTACATATGATGCGGTTGAAATGAAAATGAGACTTTCGTCGCTCAATAC